TTTCAAAACTTGCTGATTGAGGATTCAGAAACCATCATTTCATGGTTGAAGGAGAATGGCATGACCTTGGCAACTAATACAAATCAGAGAAGCAAGGCATCTGCTTCACATTCATAGAAACAGAAATTTACTGGATTCATTAAACTGCTAATTCCCTTGCCAACTCCCTAGCCCTCAAGGGAGTTATTACACAGCCACTAATGTGAAGCAGGTATCCATTAGACTGAAGCTAATTTTCCACTGTTTTGCTCCATTTGGGGGTCATATTGGGAGTAACCGAGTAAGAGAGAGCAGCAACGGGCTATCTCAAAATTTTCCGTGAAACATACAGAAAATTGTATGATCTATAAATTTATACAGTATAGCTTTTATTATCAGTAAAATTATTACCAATTAATGATAAAAATGTTAACGGCATGAATTATACCAGTTTATATATTTTAAAAGTTTTAATATATAAAGTATACTCTAGAAGTGTCTGCAGTATCCAGTGTCAATATCAGGTACATATCATCTCCAACACTAGAGATGTTATCAATTATTGTTCTTAGACCAAGTTCCTTATCATCGAATATGCAACCGTTCCTATTCTTCCAACGCACATCAAACAGCCTTGCATTTCTTTCAACAATAATAAAGGATTTTTTATGATAGATAAACATTAAATTACAGTGATAGTCTTATTATAGCAAAAGGGTAAAAAACATAGGAAAACCCCATAAACCAAACTGTTAATTCGTTATTGGCAATTTCCTTTCTTGTGAAACCATGTTTAGGAGTTTCAAATGATTATCCTTTTGTTGACTTCAACTTGGTGATTCATCAACATTCATGAGAACTAATGTCTCAAGCCAAGGCACAGTATCCAGTACTAGCACATAGACCAATCGGTTTTCCGGTAACTTATGGTTTGCAATTTCCAACATGGTGAAATATCCCCACTTTGGTGCCTCATTAGCATGTCATGAGAAATGTCATGTTTATGTGTTGGCACAGTATCCAGGTGCTGGCATAGCTAGGACCTATTAGTTTTTAGGTATACCTTTGTAACCATGATTCATATATATTGACTTTACTTATCAAAAAAAAATGTTCCACAAACAAAGCAAAATTCCCCTATTTTCCCAAGAGATGAAATAAAATTTCCTGGAATTAATAAAAATATCCATATATCCATCAATGTTTCTCTAATGTTTTAAAATTTTGATATATCAACAAACCCTTCAATTAATTATCTACTACTTCCACTCTGAATTTAATGGAATGTGATATATTATTTATCAAAAAAAAGTATCTACAACTCCCAAGTTTTGACAGAATATCGGGAAAATCATCACTAGTTTTGTCAAAATCAACTGGAAACCATCATGAATCATAGACCTTTGAATCAACAACTTCAAATCTAGGTTTTCAGAATATAAAGTTCTTTTAAAAATTTTAGTTGAACTATTAACTCTTAATAATGATCATACAATAACACCAATCATAGAAGTACTTAATATGGCCTCACAATTTAAATTTGAGAGTATTTTAAAGAACTCAGATGTGAAGGACTTCCAATTTAAGAGTTATATTTAGTTTTCAAGGATGCTTACCTTGCATGATAATATTTAGATGTTCCCATTAATGCCAATTTAAGATTCTAAAATTTCTTATAGATTCATAAAATTCATATTCTTTATAATATTTTCTGTATTTTCCTAAAGGGCAGCCAAGCACATGAGGCTTCCATCAATGCGGGGTCTGGGGAGGGATAGATATACGCAGCCTTACCCCTGCATATACAGAGAAGCTGTTTCCAAGATTTGAACCCTGGTCAGCCAGGTCGCAATGTAGCAACCTAACCTTTGCGCCAAGGCCCACCCTCATTTTCAGAATTTTCCTAATTACCTCAAATTTTCCAGATATCTTAGAAAATTCTATGAAATTTCCTCATTTGCACATGCCAAACTGCCTAATAAAACCAAAAGCTTAGAACCATGCTTGACGCTTCTCATAGAATAATTAGAACGGGTAAAAGATGGAGGGCCATACTATAAGACTATCAACATCATATAGAACAGAATATTAGGAAATCAAGAAAACCCACAATGACAAAAAAGCCCTTTAAGTGGCAAGGATATTGACTGTTGAGATAGACAAGTAAAAATGCTAGAAAGGGAACAATTAGTGTCAAGCATATAAATGAGAACGTAAGGCAGTTGTGGCTGGGGATGGTAATATAATCATAGAAAACCAACTGAGACGGTCTAGCAATGTGCATAAAAAAGAAACCATCACACCACGAAGAAGCAGTGCTTAAATGCAATTTTATTCATTGAAAAGATCGAGGAGAAGGCTGAAGAAGAGATGGGGTTTTTTATGAATAAATAAAATTTATTACTTCAAGAAATAATGGAGAACTTTGAACTCATACAACAGTCTGTGGAGAGGCGCAAGCTGCAGCCTCTTTCAACTGATTTCAAGGAAACTAAAAGAAAAGAGCAACCATTACAGCTGAGCCCAAAACAAAACTTCTCTATTTGCCCCTTGCTTGGCTAACCCATCAGCCAAAGCATTTGCTGATCTCTCCACCCATTGTGTAATAACAGACATATTCCTTGTCAGCCACTTGAATTTTTTGGCTTCACTCCTGTAGCACCACATAGTATCCTCAAGGTTCTTGAACCACCCCACCACCACCTTGGAATCCCCTTCAATAATAAGCTGTCCTACATCCAGTTGATTTGCAAATTGCACTCTTTGTAGGGCTGCTAACAGTTCTCCTCTGACTGTTAGCAGCCCTACAAGAGATGGGTTTAAGCAACGAGAAAAGACCTACTGGTACAATTTCACAGGGAGCATAGGCGACTAGGCGATTTTTAGAGGTCGCCTCGCCCAACGCCAAGGTGTTTTTGTATTAGGCACTCACCCATATTTATTATATTATTTTTTTGAATGTGCATATATATTATATCATTTTATTGGTTTGTTTTATTTTATTAGAATACACCCTGTTGTATGTTACCATTTTTTTATTAAAGTAATTCTCTTTTACATTGAAACTACAAAAGTTTCTTTGGGTTTGAGACTTTGAGTTTTGAACCGAGAGCTGAGAAGAGAGCAAGAACTAAGAGGTTTCCATTGTTCAGTCCAAGTCTTCTTCTTCTTCTTTAAGAAATATTTTTGGGATGAAACAGGGGCTCCACCTCCTCCTCCTTCATAAAATCACACAGGTACTCCTTCTTTCTTACTTTTAACAATCCTCCTCCATTTTTTTAGCCTAAAACAGGGTCTCCACCCCCTTAAACACAGTCCACATTGTCCTCTTGGACAACTTATGTTGGGAACGAAACAGGGGCTCCGCCCCCTTAGTTTTCTCTCTTCTCTTAGCTGCACTCCCCCATTTTTGTTGGCCTGGATGCTAGTTATGCCATTTTATGTTTTATTCGAATGATTTTATTGCTAATAGCTAGCATACAGGTATGTTGGTTAGTATAAAAAACCAATAAAGTAGTTTAAGAGGGGTAGGAATATTTATTTTATACCTTCAAATTCCATTCCCTAGGCATCGCCTAGGCGCCAAGGCGACTGAGTGCCCTGTGGTTGCCTAGGCTCACTAGGCACCTTGACAACTATGACAGGGAGTTAATATTGCAAGCAGGATTTTAACAGCTGACTCCTAGCAGTTAATATGAAGCTTCATAAAGTTCAGTATCCTAGACTTCAATGAATATTTTTTGGTGCCTTTTGCATTATCAAATAATGTAATGGGGAGCCCAAATTTTGGTACATAACTGTCCTGATAATTTCCTTCTCTGTAAATATTACACACAAGGAAAAAATTAAATAACAGCTAAAATTAATAGTAAAAGAGACTAACATAATTATGTGATAAACATGGTTTCAAATGTCGCTAATGTCGCCCGACATATGTCAATGTCGAGGCTCACCAGCATGAAAATGGATGGTAATATAAAAATTACATTATTTCGGTCGACATTTCCTATTTTTCGGAAATGTCGACCAAATCGGTCCAAATAACAAAAAAAAAACAGTTTTTCCTATTATGCGGACAGGATGTCGACTAATGTACATTAAAAATATAATATATTAGTATATTATATTATTATAATACAATATATTAATATAAATTATTCCATTAATAATTTCTATTKAATATTTCAAATAAAAGATTTATAAAAAAGAATTAACAAAATATAAAAACAAAAGAATAAATTAATTACTTTATAATATAAAACATAAAATGTTTTTCAAGTAATAAAATATTAACTAGTTAATATTTTTTTAAATATTTATTAAAATCAGAATATGTTTATTCAATTTTATAATAAATCATATTCTACATTTAATATAAAAAATCAGAATAAATTTATTAAAGTTTATACTAAATCATAAGTTATTATAAGTTTAGTATTAAAAATCATAATAAATTCATTAATTTTATAAGAAATCAGAATTTATCATAATCTTAATACTACAAAAAAGGAGAATCAGTTTATTAAATTTATAATAAAACATAATGTATTATAACTTTAATATTTAAAAAATC